ACACCAAACAATCTGTATTTCCTCAATGTCGACACATCTACCAAACAGTATCCATCTGGAAACCTCAATGATCGAACCCATTCGCATAATAGTTGCCTTTGGGGTTTGTCTAAAGAATAACATGCCTTTGGAAACTTTCCAGTAAGTATAGATTGCTCAAGTTTTGGTTGACGACAAATTTCCTTCATGTCTGCTCTCGCTTTTGCATTATCCTTGGATTTCCCCTCAATGTTCATGACAATGTTGAGCAGATTTTCAAACACATTTTTTTCTATGTGTATCACATCAAGTTTATGACGGATAAGAAGTGAACTCCAGTATGGCAAATCCCAAAAGATGCTTCGCTTTTTCCATCCAAGATGCTTCGCTTTTTCCACCGCTAATTTCACTGCCGAAATTTTACAGCATTTACCTCTTAATGCCATTTACCTCTTATGCACCTAACTCTGTAACTTTCATAAGCCCCAGATCTTTAATTTCTTGTAATATTTCAGCTCCAGACTTCACAGGTGGAGGGGGATCAGCAACAGTCGTGTTCTTTCTAAAGCATTGTTGATTTTGCCTCCAAGGGTGAGATTCTGGTTAGAATTTATGATGACAATCAAACCAACATAGTTACCGCCATTTTTTAGTGTAAATGCATTAGTTTTTTCCATGCAATGAGGACAAGCCAATTTCCCTACTGTACTCCAACCAGATAACATTTCAAATGCTGAAAAATCACTGATGGTCCAAAGCAAAACAGCTCGCATTATAAAATTCTGATTGGGCAAAATATCAAACGTTTCAATCCCATACTCCCATAAATAATTAAATTCAGCAATCAAAGGTTGTAGAAACACATCAATTTTGTATTTGGATTATGAGGGCCAGGTACAATAACACACAGAAACATGTATTCATCTTTCATACACATTGAGGGTGGTAGATTATATGGTGAGACAATGACAGGCCATGATGAATATTGTTGTCCTGATTGGTCAAACGGCTGAAACCCATCAGTATAAAGCTCTAATCTCACGTATCTCCTCTCAGTAGCAAACACAGGATGATTGTTACCAAAGTGTTTCCAGGATTCAGAGTTTGACGGACGAGTCATTATACCATCCTCATATTCATGCAAAGCATGCCATCTCATGTGTTCGTCTGTCGCCTTAGATGCATATAACCTTTGAAGATGAGGAACAAAAGGGAAATAATACATATTCTTGAAAAGCCTTCTCTCTTTTTACTCTACCAGTCCCTTGACCCCGCCGTTGATATCTTGGAAGATTACAAAACTTGCATTCTCTTAATTTGGAGTCAACACCTCAGTATATCATTTGGAGTCAAACACCTCAGTTATCAATACATATATCATACAATTATTTCAACAACAATCAATCTTTTCCATGGGTAGTCCTAATCCCCGAACTAATTTTTTTGTCCGGTAAAAATTATCCACCATCAAATGGCCTTCAGGCAACATTTATTTTGCTAACTGCATAAAATCATCGTAACACCTTTTTGAAAAATGGTGCTCTACTTTCAATGGCAGTAATCATGACACTTCTTGTAATTACATGGACACGTCAACTTATTACCATCCATACAACTGGGATTACCAACTGCAAACTCTATAAACGATTCCAATCCTTGCAAGAATTCTTGTCTTAATATCCCACTGACACTGACCTCGATCTCCAATCATTCCAATCTCGATTGGTCGCACAATTTTTTACATAATTAACACTTTTCAACTTATTACCATCCATACAACTGGGATTACCAACTGCAAACTCTATAAACGATTCCAATCCTTGCAAGAATTCTTGTCTTAATATCCCACTGACCTCGATCTCCAATACATCCAATCTCGATTGGTCCACATTTTTTTACATAATTAACACTTTGTTTATAAAGGGCAAACTATATGTAATTGCATTAGTCATAAATCATCCTTAAAACATACCAAATAAGGGTGACTATATATATGTAAACTTAATAAGGTTGTTTCTAACTAAGATTAACTATATATATGTAAACTTACTATAATATCAGTAAGTGTATGATTCCTCATATTCAGTTTTTAAAAAAATTTCGACAGCATTTCGACATAACATAATCAAATCTCAAGTCAAAACACACTCACATAAAAAACACTTCTATATAATCCCAACATTCTCCAAAGTCAAAATGGCCACTACTAGGCCTTCAACTCAAACGCATCATTCATGTGATTTCCACTCAAATAAAAAGACAAATCAACATAAAGTAATTTCAAAAAATTATTATTATTATTATATCATATCATGCGACAAAATAAAACAAAATATAAAACAAATGAAAACAAAACCCTTAATCAAAATTTATCTTTTAAGGTCCAATAATGCATTTCTAACTTATATATATTTACTTATGCAGAAGTTTTATTTTAATTGTGAATTTCTCCCTAATTTTACACGATTTGGGGTTTTACAAGCCTAATTATTACAATAAAATTAAACCTATTCTATTTATGTAGTAATATATATTTTTACTCATTTCTAAGGTTTGTTGCTTTTCACCTGCATTTTGCAGAACAAATTCCTAAATTTGGTGCTCTTACCTTACCACCTCTTCTCTCGCCTTTTTTTTTTCTTCTTTTGTCTCTATCTTAAACAGCTCTACTAATAATAGACATGAAGAATATATATTATTCTTATTAATTCTGATATAGAAAACATTAGAAAACTATGTCTAACTATATCTAACTAAACTATTATTAATTCTGCAGAATACTATATCTAACTAAACCGAAGAATACAAATTGAAACATAAAACAAATAAGATTGAAGATTGAAGATTTAGAATTAATTCTATAGCTTTTAGCACAATTAACGCATATTATAAACGCAAAGGTTAGAGCACCTACCTGACCTCCAGGAGACCGATGCGTCTTCTCCGGCGAGTGGTGAAGCGTCCGGCGATAGCAGCAACAAACGGTGATTGGCGAAATTGTGGACGGAGGCCGCTGGAAATGGAGAGGAGAGGAAAAGGGATAAGCGCGCTGTACTCGCGACCAAGGCGATCTAGGGATTATAAATCCCTAATTTTTTGCGACAGACAAATCGATCGCAAATCATTTACAAATCGATCATAATTTTTAATCCTGCGATGTCGTTTTGTAATCAAATAAATTGTGACCGATTTGCGACCGATAACGGTCACTAATCCCTTTTCAAAGCAAAAACCAAATTTGGTGCTAAACTACAATGCGCATTTTAGTGATGGACACTAGAATGGTCGCAGATCCGTTGCAAAATCGATTGTGAATTCATCACAATGGAGTCGCAAAAAAAAAAAAATCAAACTGGCGGGGGTTATTTAGCGCTAGGATTTGCGACGGATATGTAGTCGATCGCAAATCCATCGCCAAATTTATCGGAGATCAGTCGCAAATCCTTCGGTGAATATTAAATGTCTGTAACTTCAACTTTCATCGCAAATGGTCGCAATATCGTCGCCATATTGCGACCGACACGTGGCGATCACAAAAATCAGTTGCAAAACTGCATCTTTTTTTTTTAGTGAATGAAGTCACATCTAGTTACTCACCACTCCATGAAGATGATTGTTATGATACAAATCAAATAGATTGAAGTCTATCTAGTTCAAGTAAATATCAGATATACTGGCATATGTTCAAGTAAAGTTGTTTGTCTATATTAGGCCCTATCCATCTTTTATTTATCCATATAGATAAGATTTATTTTATTAGGCAATAGTTATCTAGACTTTAAATCAAATGAAGTTCATAGTCTTCTATAAATAGCTAAATATGCTATGAGAAAAGCAAAAGTTTTCAGAAGAATCAATTTTATGCTATCTCTATATCGTCTTGTTTCAAAAAGCTTTATGGTCTCCCTTTTGTAAGTAATAAAGTTTTCTTTTGTATAATTATCGTTTTAACTCTGTTTTATTTTAAATTACTTTGATTAAATAATTATTTTATTTTAGTTAATTGATATGATTATTTATACTTATGTGTATCATATTACTTTGCTCGGACTCTATTCTCCCTTCCATTTTAGTTTAACAATTATTATTACTCCATAATTAAAACTAAACATATATCTCTTCCTCCGTCCCTCCACACTTTCAGTCAGCTCCTTTTTGGTTTCAAAGTCTAATCTTTATAGGTCGTAGAGGTAAGATTATTAATTACTTAAGGATTAATTATTAGGAATAAAATATATAAATCTACGAGTTAAACTATAAATAGCCTATATATGTTATTATTAGGAAATACTCACACTTTTCTAAATTTTAAATAGTTTATAATTTAAACAATTAAAATAATGTGTTTTAGGATAGATAGTTATTTATAGATTAGGTTTAGTAATTTAAATAATTTAATATGAATAATTATTAATTAAAATATTTAAGTTGTTAATTACAATATAGAAAAATACAATAAAATTTTAAAATTTTCTAAAAAAAAAAAATAAAGTGTTGGACAAAGAGATAATGTTAAATCTTCTCCTTGTTGCATATTTCATATATAAATAGATAGATGTTTCTTTTATAATCGTGAAAAATACAGAGTTGATTAATGAATAAAATTTCTATCTTTTCTTGAAAAAAAATTGTTAGAAGAATAGTTGCACGTTACCCAAAATCATACATTGCAAAAATTTTTAGTTAGTATTAATTTCACTAGTAATAATTTCAAAAGATATTTTGTATTATTAAGTTTTGAATGAGTAAAAATAAATAATAATTATAATTGTTATTAATCAAAATGAATAGTAGCAAATTTAATAATGAAAATTATTTAAACAATGTATGTACTGGCGTAGGAAGGTTAGAACTATTTTCTTATTAAAAATCACAAAAAAGTTTTTTTTTTTTAAAAACATTGACAATGTCAACTTTTTCTCTAATCATGCTTTTTTAACTCTAAAAAGCATATGTTAATATATATATATACATATATAGTAACATATACCTTTTCTTTTCATTTTTTTAAACACACCGGCCATGAGATGTTCAAAGGACTTTGTCTTTCTCCACTTACTACTGCCTTCTCAGCTTTTTCCCTCTACCTAGCAGAGCAGAGAAACTGAGCAACCAAAAGCAATAAAGAAAAACACCAAACACCCATCTCCAACAAAAAGCAAAAGCGAAAAAGGAGTCCAAAAAGCACCCTCTCTCTTTGCCGTTAAGTAATTAAAATGAAGAAGAAGAAGAAGATCCCACATATATACTCGGTATCCACAGTCTCTGGTTCAACCCTTTTGAGCATCCGAAAGCAATGTCTTCTTCAGAGATTGTTGTTGCAGATCCTGTCATCGAACCAAACAACACCACAGGTGCCATTACGACGTCGTCTGCCAGCTTTAGTCATGATGATGAAACTCCTGAGCCTTTTGACAGTGAGAGGTTGCCTCCCACTTTGGCTAGAGAAATTCAGAGGTTTCTTCGTGTTGCCAATTTGATCCAAACTGTCGAACCTCGAATTGCTTATCTCTGTAAGCCATTCCATCCGAAATCCTAAAATTATACATTTAACAAAAGAAAAGAAAACAAAATTTATCAGGTTCTTTTGCAGGCCGGTTTCAAGCTTTTGAAATAGCACATAACATGGACCGCAATTCCAGCGGACGGGGTGTTCGCCAATTTAAAACTTCTCTTCTTCGGCGACTTGAACATGTAACAACTCGTGCCCATCTAATGATTATTGCTTTTGCTGCTTAAAATCTATCTTTCAGCATAAATTTTTGTTCTTTTCTCTTAATTTCTTGTTTATTCTTTTTTCCTCAAGGATGAAGGAATAACCTTTAGGAAACGAAAAGAGAGGAGTGATATACGCGAGCTTAGACGTGTTTATCAGGCATACAAGGACTACATTATTAAAAATGGCGGGGGCTTTGATTTGGATGAAAGGTAAATAACAATAATAGTAAGGACAAAACTTTGTTGGTTAAATTGTGCAGCTGTTTTGCTAATACAATCTTTGGAATTTTTTTATCTAAATTAGTCACAGGGAGAGGTTGATAAATGCTCGGAGAATTGCTTCTGTGTTGTTTGAAGTATTAAAAACAGTAACAGATGCAGCTGGTCATCAGGTCCTATTTTACCTTTTCAATGCCTAAACCTCTGATGAATAATAATATAAGATTCAACACTTTTCTATTTTCTTTTCTTAATAATTTCTCTGTTTATTCCTTCATAGGCTCTTGCTGAAAGGGACAGTAACCGTGCAAAATCCGTGCTCTATGTACCTTATAACATTCTTCCTTTAGATCATGGAGGTCTCCAGCATGCCATTACACAACTCCCTGAGGTCTGCTGCCTTGCCTGATGGATAATAAAATTATTTCTTTATTTTGTTTAAACATTCTTAAGCTTTTCTTTTAATTTTCCATATCTGCGTCTCATTGTAGCTTGAGAACTACTAACCTTCTGGCATTCTTTTAAAATAAAACTCTGGGTTTATTTTTTTCCGGTCAACATATTTTTGCACCAAATATGATTAGTTCCTGAGGTCTGGTGCAAGTGGATAAAGCATGTTGACAAACTGATAAATGATACAGATTAAAGCTGCAATTGGAGCTGTTAGAAATGTGCGTGGTTTACCTTCATCTGAAGATTTCAATAAATGTGGTCCTTTCATTGATTTATTTGACTTTCTTCAGTGTTGCTTTGGGTTTCAGGTAAATTAGCTTAGCGTAATTGCATTTTATCTTCTTTTTTTTTTTTTTAGTTTCTCCTTAAACTGTTTTACAGTTTCACTTTCTAATTACATGTGAAATTAGAGTTGGAAAATTTGATATGTGTGATATCAAAGATGTAACATTTGTTCATGTGTTTTCTTTCATCAGGAAGGAAATGTGGCCAACCAGAGAGAGCATTTAATTTTACTCCTCGCTAACACTCACATTAGGCAATGTCATAAGCAGACATCCATCTCCAAGGTGATTTCGTGACCTTTTGATTAAGCACAATCTTAGCTTTTTAAGTTGAAATTCATCCTATTCTCACAATAGCAGTTAGGAGATGGAGCTGTGGATGAACTGATGAAGAAGTTCTTCAAAAATTATACTTATTGGTGCAAATTTTTGGGGAGAACAAATAATATCCGGTAAGAGGTGTATTTAGCTTGTTGCTTTGCACCAAAGAAATTAGAACTGTCTGTCTCATATGAATTTTTTTTTTTATTTTTTATTTTTTTTATTTTTATTCATGGATTGTGCTGTCTTTTAATAATCACTTTTGCTGCTTCTTGCATTTGATTTGTTTCTTGTCTGGCAGGTTGCCTTATGTGAAGCAGGAAGCGCAACAGTATAAAATTCTATATATAGGGCTTTACCTTCTTATATGGGGGGAAGCTGCTAACTTGCGATTTATGCCAGAGTGTATATGTTATATTTTTCACCATGTAAGTTGAAAAATCTGTCTCTGTTTATTGATTCCTTATTACCAACTCTGAGCTGGTTCCATATTTTATAGCGCACACAGCCTGTTTCTTTCATGCCAAATGCAATGTGTTACACCCCATTTGCATGATTAAGGTCTTCATTCATGAACTTAGAAAATAATAGTAGCCGAAGAAAAAGAAAAATAAGAACTCTTCAAGCATGTCTAGAAACTATAGGAGCAAGTTTCTGAGCAACACCTTTAGGAAAAGTGGAATATTTCTATTGGTTTATGCACTTCTTCTAAATGATTTGGAATTTTGATGGATATTTATGTACTGAAATAATAGGAAGACAAATTTCTTAAAATAATACTGGAAAGAGAAAAGTATAGATTCCTGATGTTGTTACTTGATTGCATATAAAACTTTTCTGATGATTGAAGCCAGGCATAAGTTTACAAGTAACTAAGTCTTGCAAAATTTGAATAATGTGCTAAAGTAAACTAAACTCAGCAATATAATATTCCTTTCTGCATAATATGAATAGAAATTTGTTTGATGTGTTCAATGTTTATGAATTTTGAACTCGTGGTTATATATAACTCTTGAGCTTATGATTTTATTTCAAAAATTTTTTAACAAACATATAGTCAAATACAATTTTTTTTTTTTTTTTTTTTTTTTTTTTATGAATTTTATTTCAAATTTTTTAAAAGCAAACATATAGTCAAATACAATTTTTTTTTTTTTTTTTTTTTTTTTAATGACACTTGTCATTTATTTGAAGGCAAATTTTTTTTTTTTTTTTTTTTTTTTTTTTTTAATGACACTTGTCATTTATTGAAGCAAATTATTAATATTGTCAACCTTTTCAATATAAGTTGTGTAAATTACAATCTTGGCTAAAATATGAATTTATATTAGGAATATTAACATATTAATTAATTTTGTTCGTATATACATTTGTAGTCCTTCTCAATCATAATTTATTAGCATTTCAATCTAATATATAATATTGATATTTTTAATCAATGTTAAAATATATAATAATTATACATTATCATACAAACAAAAAGTAATTTTCTTATTATTTGATATATATTGATATGTCCTATAACTTCTTTTGAGAGTTTGAGAGTCAACTCGATGAAAGAAAAGAGAAACTATTATTGTAAGGGAAACTCAATGAAAATTATAAATTTCCATGCCAAAATGACATGAATCTTAAACAAAGTCAACTCTCTACAAATTTTAGTCTTAATAAGAAAAAATTATTTTATTTTGGTCTTACTAAATCTAGCCATTTATCAAAGCAAACTGTATTTTGAACTCAAAGCAAAACATTATTGAGTTCGAATACAGTTCTAAGCAAATTTTCTAATCAAGTTGATTTTCAGTTCTTAACTTGCTTACTTTTCTAAATATTAACACATTAATATAATATCTTTTGTCGCCAAAAAATATCATGTGGATAAATATAGAGAAAATTATCAACATCATTAAAAAAGAAAATAATTATCTCCATCTCAAGTTTACTATGCTATGATATAAAAACACATTGCATCTAAGATGTGTAAGAAAATCAAATTTCTTTTTACCAAGACCACAAATATGTGAACTTTTTTTTTTTTTGGAGGATTGATGACATTTATAAAATTGGTTGCGGAAATTGCTAAAAGAAAAAGGGAATTTACCAGTATATGTTCTATAAGAAACCATAATAGTATTTATACAATTTGATGATACACTTCTAGTAGAATTTCGGCAAAATATTATTTTTACGATACAAATATGTTTATGCATTAAAAAAAATGCAATGAATTTTATTTATATAAATTAAAAAGTTAATTTAACAAATTTTTAAATGGATAACAAAATTTAAGTTATGACAAGAATGCAATTAAAGAGTAATAAAATGGTTAAGTGGGAAAACACTGTTGGGTGGAATGTAATTAAAGAATAATAAAAGGGTTAAATGGAAAAATATTGTTGGGCAGGAATATAATTAAAGAAAACTAAAAGAGTTAAGTGGGAAAAACATTGTTGGGGCAACAGTGCTTTTTCCACACAGCTTAGTAATATATAGTAATATGCAATTTTTTTTTTGAGGATTACATTCGTAGAACTGGTTTATATTTTACTGAACACAAAAAGGAATCAATGAATATATGTGCATAAACATTGAAGTTTACCAACAATGTCAATAAGCTTTGGAATTTAGTAATTGTGCAGTTAGTAATAAAAAAATTGTAAGTACTTATAATGGTTTAAGGAGTATCGATAAGCTTATCAATTTACCTATTTAGGAATACTTAATAGTTAGACTTAGAAATTTTTATTTGCAAAATAATAATTAATATCATGTGCTTTTTGTTCCAACCAAAGTTTTATTCCTCAGGGGACTTATATATAGTAGATGGCTACTCATCAGTCAGATTTAATATTTTATATTTTATTTTGCTATTTAAACACTTGAATGATTTATGTGAAGTGAAATGTAATCTTAACTTTTTGACCTGCCTTAGTTCCAAGTTTTATAGGAGTTGCTCCAACAATATCTGAACTTAGAATCTAAAGTATCAAGCACTAATATTTATTCTTGAGAGGCACATAAAGTTCTTTAGAACATTGCATATCTAATCTGTGGACATTTACATTGTATTGTATTGTATTGTTGCAACTTTTTAATAATTTATGTTTGGTAAAATGCAAGCTTAACTTACAGATCCGTCTCACTTAAACTTTTGTATTATTTTCACTAACTTGAGCTCAAATCAACAATCAAACTTTGACTTCAGGATTTTTGTCAAAGTGTTTAATACATTGCTGAAATGTTTCACGAGTCAGTGGTCTTAGCTAACTGAGAAACTACCTTACAATCAATGTATTTTCTTACGTCATATTCGTTATCATATTGATGAAGGTTATAAAGGATCATATTTGTGATGCAATATAAATTTGCTTTCAGATGGCATATGAATTGCATGGCATGTTAACTGGTGCTGTTAGCTTGACTACTGGGGAGAAGGTTATGCCAGCATATGGAGGAGGATTCGAGTCTTTCCTTAAGAACATAGTTACCCCAATTTACAGAGTTATATACAAGGTACTTTGTAATTTCGCAACATGATTTTAGATCTTTCTTTCTGGTATCTAATCTTCACGTGAAAATTGAAGGAAGCTGAGAAAAACAAAAGTGGGACGGCTGATCATTCTACTTGGAGAAACTATGATGACTTGAACGAGTATTTTTGGTTAGATTAAACTTTGTATTTATTTTGTTGAACTTCATTAAGACTTCAAGGGTAGTTTGTTGTAATTGCTATATTCTTGCAGGTCTTCTGATTGTTTCCAAATAGGTTGGCCCATGCGTTCGGATCATGACTTCTTTTGTGTACAATCTTTAGATAAACACAAAGCTAAAAAAACTATGGATGACAAGAAGAAGAGGGAAGTAAAAGAAGATGAAGAATTAGGAGCAAACAAAGATGAAGAGATAGGGGTAAATTCATGTGTTCAGTTGAACTATAGATGAAGCATTTTCTTTGTTTGTTGTTTTTTGTGTTTTCTTTTCCTCTCTCATTTCATTTTCAAAATGATTTGTAAAATGGATAAACAGTAATGCATTAAATTTAGTACTTTTGTTTGTCATTCCTTCATTTGGACCATAGCTTTCTCTTGTTCTAGCTTGTTAGAAAATGTAGAATGTTCCTGCTTAATGCATTAGGAAACACACAGACCACTGATCATTAATTGCTCTTTTCTATTGCATATAATGATGATATATCTGATTGCTTTTTTTCTTTGTTGGATAATTTCTTAATATGAAGAATTTGTAAGGTGAATTTTGCATTGTCGATGAGTGCTTTGGGCACTAATCCAAGTTTCCAACCAATTTATCCATCATTTTCGAGCCTGGGTCCTTTTACTTCATCATTTGAAAGGCTTGATCTTCAACAATATGTGCCAATCTCTATTAGCAGTCTTGGATGCATAATTGTAATTGAATTCATCCTATTAGTGAAAGTAGGCAATTGTGGATATCTTCACTCGACTCTAGTTGTCTTGTCTTGTACACGTTATGATAGTAGGTAAAGAAACATACATTTCCTTGACTTCTGCTTTTTGGCTTATGAGTTCATTACATCTTCTAAAATTGTATCTGTATTAAGTGAGCTTGTTTTCCTTGCTTTGCATAAAGGCCTCTATTTCAAGCCCTCTTTATCTTAAATGCAAAAAAAGGAAAGAAGGCTATAATATGCTAATCTATTTCTTAAAAGCAAGAAGGATAGAGGCCACCTCGCTATATTTTGCTCATCTTGATAAACTCCCATGATACATAACATATTTTGCTCATCTTGATAAACTCCCAAGATACATAACTCTAAATTGTTTTCATTTTTCATAGGTTCACGCTGAGGATAATTGTGAACTAAAATGGTTAGGGAAGACAAATTTTGTAGAGATTCGCTCATTTTGGCAAATTTTTAGAAGCTTTGATAGGATGTGGAGCTTTTTTATCCTATCTCTTCAGGTTTGTCAAAAGTGCCATACAATTGATTTCTTGAGTACTTCATCTTTGTGATAATTTTTTAAAATTTCTTTTCATGTATTTTTAGGCAATGATTATTATGGCTTGCCATGATTTGGAATCTCCACTAGAAATTCTGGACACAACAATATTTGAAGACATAATGAGCATCTTCATTACATCTGCAATTCTTAAACTCATGCAAGGTATGATACTTTTGAGAGTCTAATAAATATATTACATGTAGAGATAATTGTTGCCATTGATGTGTAAAACTATTGGCCAAACAGTCAAATTTACCCTAACCTTTTGTAACTTTTTTTTCATGTGTCAATTGTACTTCGAAATCTTTTTTTTTTAATCAATTGTGTCCTATGTCAATATTGGAAAAAAGGTGTTGAAAGAATATTTCGTATTTCTTTTTATTGTGTGTTATAGTTTCAATCTCTACACCACTTTATATATACACAAGATTGTTTTAATATAGGAAGTAATCTAAATAGGAATAAACCTAAACTAGGAAAGACAATAAACCTAAACTAGGAAAGACAATATTGACTTTAATTACAAAGATTTCAATGTTTTTTAGGATAGTAATCTAAATAGGATATATATCCTAACTAGGTAAAGAAATATAATGCTCTTAATTACTAGGATAAGACATATTGACTTTGAATTAATCAAAAGAATTTCAACACTTCCTCTCAACAGTTGAGTGCCATAAGAGTTAAATTACTCATGCACCATCTTGCAAACTAAAGGATGAAACAGTTTGCTACTCAAACTCTTTGTGAGAAACTACGAGCTAGTTGCTCTTGTGAAGACTATAAATAGGAAGACATTTATAAGGCCTCAACTATCTTCTCTTTAAAGTGACGATCACTTCTCTATGTGCTTAGTTCGTATCATGCTGAACTAGGCATTATTCATAATCTGATAGGCTTTGCTATTTACTATCTACCAAAAACAGGATATATTTTGTTGTTTCAACCAACTTATAAATCTCTTCCATTAATCGCCAAATCCATAGGAAGTTCACATATTCCAGTGGGCCATAATTATCCTACTATATTCCTGCTCTGCACTGGACCTTGCTACAACAGTCTTGACTTTATTTCTATGATACTTTCTCTCATGTGAACAAAGGTTCTCCAACAAAATACACAATATCCCTGAGGTTGTATTCTCCATATCATCAAAGGGAACCAGCCCAATCCGTTCAATCTAGTATAAGGCCTCGTTTATTTCGTCAAATGGCCATTAGTTTAGGATTAAATAAAAAGTCATTACTACCAGGAGCTGATTTTTAATATCTTAGACATCCCGATGCACAGCTTTTAAAGTGGACTACCGAGGGATCAAGCATATATGACTCCACTTGGCAAGACTAACTTACTGCATTCAGCGCAATATCTGCGACTAGTCATGGGCCAAGTGTAAATCAACTTCCCGACCAATCTCGATACTGACCTAACTATTCAATATGACTCTTCCATTCACAGTACTTGAAGCTTAGAATTGCGCCTTCAATAGGTGTATTCTGTCAGAGTTTTTAACTATCCCAACATAAGTTTGCTTTAGGAGATGAGAATGTAACTCTTCTTTGGATGTACTTTCTTTGAGAAATAAAAATCCTTTTTTCTGATCTAGCAACTTCTATCCCAAGGAAATATCTCAACTTTCCCAAATCTTTAATCTCAAACTCCTTAGCTAACAAATTTCTTAAGCGAGTCATTTCTTCTTCATCATTTCCAATCATCACTATATCATCAACATAAACAATAAGCAATGTGATCTTACCTTGATGATGTTTAATGAACAAAGTAAGACCAGCATCGCTCTGAATGTACCCAAAAGAAAGCATAGCTTTACTAAACCTTTCAAACCATGCCCTTGGTGATTGCTTCAGCCCATATAATGACTTCTTTAGCTTGTTCAGCCAATATAAATGACTTCTTTAAGCTCTTTGTCAAACTTCTTTACCTCTGGTTCTTTGTCATCAATCAATAATCCAGGAGGATCATCCATTATAACACCGTCTTCTTTCAATCACCATCGTAGAAAGCGTTTTTAACATCAAAAACTGATGTAATATCCCAGTCCCCTTCGAAAGCAGTTCTGGCTGCACAAGATAACATAATATTCTGATTGTATTCATCTTGCGCTATCAGGGCAACAAGTATTCCTGGTATATAGTACAATCTCCATTAGTCTGCTGAACCTCCTCTGGCTTCCAATCATGCCCTATTGTACCTCTCTAGATGGAACCATTATGCCCTTAATGTTTATTACTGCGAAACACCCATTTTACATCACAACTGGCTTTTCTTTCCTGATGGAGGATGTTACATAGTATCCTTTGATCTTTAGTTTTTTGCCAAAGCTCTCATCTCTCATATCCATTGCAGCCCTTCCATTTTTGAGTCCCTGTTATAGCCTCTTTGCCAAATTTCTTGCGGTATTGGGAACAGATAGAAACAGAACAAACATATAAGGCTCTATATGAAGGGAGAACAGAGCCATTATATAGGAGATGAAATAGGGAAGATTGGGATGTTTATTGTTGCATGTTTACTCCTTTTCTAAAGAGAAATAGTGATATTTATCATAGGTCATTGTTTAGATTAGGTGGATCATGATTAGTCGATAGAATCATCAGGAATATTAAGAAGACTTCAGCCAAGTTCTGTTCGGTCTGTAATTTTCCAGTAGCCTAGAATGGAAGACGGTTGAATGAGTAGGTCTTCATATGCTCCATTAGGTGTATACTATGCTCCATGGTTGTATCTGTATTAGTCCGCCGTGTGTAGGTTTTCAAATCAAGTCTATCCAATCTTTCTAGAGGTTTGGGTGGTGGTTCTCTCCTACTATCTATGTCTACAGGAAACTCCCCCTGGAAAGGAATGTCATTCATCACCTCTGTCATCTGATATTTCTCCCCCTGAAGAGGTGATTGGGAAGGAAAATAAGACTCGAATTCCCGAAATGTAACATCCAACATCCATACTCACAAAGTATTTCCGAGAAGGAGGATAATAACACTTGTATCCTTTTTGAGTAGTAGAGTAACCAACAAATACACACTTCAAGGCTCTAGGATCTAATTTGCTTAGACCATTCTGATGAACAAAACAAACACAGCCAAAGACGGTAGGATGTACAATACAAGAGTTTTTTCCTTGAACAACCTCTAATGGAGTTTTAAAATTTAAAGTACGAAGAGGCATACGATTGACAAGGTAAGCAGCAGTTAAAATAGCATGCCCCCAATATAGTTTGGGGAGATTCATAGTGAACATAAGAGACCTAGCTACTTCCAGTAAATGCCTATTTTTCCTTTCGGCTACGCCATTTTGAGCACTAGTATTGACACAACTAGCACAACTAGTTTGATGTATAATACCCATTAGAATCTAAATAGGTACGAAACTGCATTCATGTATTCAGTACCATAATCAGTTCTTAGGATTTTAACATGGCGCATCAAACTGAGTACCAAATCCTTTTGCTGGAGTTCTGAAAACACGAAAAAAACTTCATTTTTGTTTTCAATTAAAATAACATCCAAGTCCAATCTAAGTTGCAAACAATCAATAAAGGTCAAACAAACCACCTATAACCAGAAAGAGAGACAGTTTTAGTAGGACCCTAAACATCAAAAGAATGAATAGTAGCAGGAATCAAGCTTTTTATTATTAATTGGAGAATTATAATCCCTGGTGTGTTTGGCAGTTCACAAGCATCACATACTAATGATCGAAATCACCTTAGCAAATAAAAGTTGGGGAAATAAACGTCCTAAAACAGAAAAAGAGGGATGTCCTAATCTCCTATGCCATTGAATAACTTCATGGGAAGGATTTCTAGAAGTTCCTAACAAAGATTGACCGGTACCCGAATTTGAAAACCGACAAACGTCATCCAACAGATACAGTCCATCGCGCAAGCTATCACTGCCAATCGTTCTCCCCGTGTTCAGTTCTTGAAATATATAATGAGTAGCGTAAAAGGTTACTTTGCAATTAAGCGCTTTTGTAATTAAGCTAACAGATAACAGATTAATAGGGAATCTAGGAACATGAAGAACAGAGTAGAGTTTAATATTGGAAGCAGAGTAGAGTTTAATATTGGAAGTACAGTTAATGGAACCTATGCCAGCAATTGGTACTAAGGAGCCATCCGCAATACGAATTTTTTTGTGCCTTGATACTTAGAATATGTGAGGAAAGGTTTTATAGAGCCTGTTGTATGTTTATTTGCTCCTGAATCTATAACCCAAGAGGGTAAGAAAAGCATTACCAGAATTAACAAAATTAGAAGCTGCAGCCTGAGTTGAGGAAGAATTAAGCTGTGACAACAATCGTTTCAGGGACTGAATTTCTTTATCCGAAAAGCTACTAGTAGTAGATGTTTCCTCACATAAAGCTCCACCATCAGATATGTGTGCGTGCAGTCTAGAAGAACTGACCTGCTTTCCTCCACGCCCTTTAGTTGGGCGTCCATGTAATTTCCTGCAGAACTCCTTAGTGTGCCTGTTCTTACCACAATAGTCACAAAATAATTGATTTCTGTCTGAAGAACCGTTCTTGGCAGCCTGTATATGCTCCTTAGTGTGCCTGTTCTTACCACAATAGTCACAAAATAATTGATTTCTGTCTGAAGAACCGTTCTTGGCAGCCTGTATATGTTCTCTTGCAGAATTAACAATCAACCCTGCTTTATCAATTGTAGATCTGTGAACCATAGCATTCCTTATGAAAGTATTAAAGCATAACTAAGAATACAATATGGAGGATAAGAAACAACTAACAGCAAGATACGTAAAACACAAGCTAAAAAAGAAACGTGCAATCCTTTTGTTCTTTGTTAATCATTTATCAGTCAGTGTTTTAGATTTCTCTCTATGTTTGCATGTGTATTATTTATGTCTACTTATTATATTACATGCGAAGAGAGATAAGTGCACAAAATGTTTTGGTTGCAGCAATTCTTGACATTCTGTTCACATGGAGAGCTAGACTCAAAATGGATATTTGTAGGAAAAGGAAACAAGTGTTGAAGTTGGTTGTTGCAATCATATGGACTATTGTTCTTCCTGTATGTTATGCTAAATCAAAAAGGAAAAATACTTGTTATTCTACACAATATGGAAGTTGGCTTGGTCAATTGTGTTTCTCTTCCTACATGGTTGCAGTTGCAATTTACTTGATGACTAATGCAGTTGAGATGGTCTTATTTTTCTTCCCTGTGATCAACAAGTATATTGAGATTTCAGATATTCACATATTTAAAATTTTATCTTGGTGGACACAGGTAAGATTCCTTAAATTTTGTGTTATCCCATTTGAAATTCTTTTTTATTATCTATGGTAAACTTAAATTCTTATCATAAACCAATGTTGCTTTAATGCATATGGAACTGTAAACCTATTTCCTTGGAATTATGGGTTTCAAGTTGTTGAATTCATAAATATTGTTGTGAAATATCAGAGATTTAGATTTTAGGAGAAATTTGATTCTCTATTTCTTGTGTACTTCTAATTGTGATTTACATCAAGGTATTTATACACATGCATCTACAACTAAATAGGAAATATACAAAAAGGAAGAAATCAATAGTCCTAAACAATCTTCTGAGTCAACGCTCCTCCTCAAGTTGGTGCACATATATTACACATGCCTAACTTGCAAATTAAATTATGAAATTGTCTACTGTTAAGCCCTTTAGTAAGAACATCTGCAAGCTGATTATTTGAGGTAACATGAGTAAGCTTCAAAACATGTTGGAAGGCTTTTTCTTTTATGAAATGTCTATCAATTTCTATGTGTTTTGTCCGGTCATGTTGGATTTTGAGCAACGCTAATTGCAGCCTTGTTATCACAAAACAAAGTCGAGTCTTCTTCTTTCGACATTCGCAATTCTTCTGTTATCTTCCTTAGCCATAACAGTTTGCAAACCCCTGGAGCCATAGCTCTATATTTTGCTTCTGCACTCGAACGTGCTACTATAGTCTACTTTTTACTTCTCCACGTAACTAGGTTTCCTCCAACAAAGGTACAATAACTAGAAGTTGATCTCTTATCATCTAGAGATCCAGCCCAGTCAGCATCAATAAAGGCTTCAGTTTTGAGATGACCATGCTTAGAGAAAAGTAGACCTTTACCAGATGCAGACTTTAGATATCTTAGAATGCGAAAAACAGCTCCAAGATGAGAACTACGAGGATTATGCATATATTGTCTAATTAGACTTGCAACATATGCTATATCAGGTCTAATATGTGAAAGATCGATCAATCTGCCAACCAATCTTTGATATTGATCCAAATCAACTGGTTCTCCTATTCTTGCTCGCAATTTGTGATTAACTTTAATGGGAGAGTTAGCTCGTTTACAACCCAACATGGCAGTTTCTTTCAGGAGATCTAGGATATATTTCCTTTGAGAGAGGAAGATCCCTTTATCTGATCTAGCAACTTCTATACCCAAAAAGTATCTCAGACTTTCTAAGTCCTTAATCTCAAACTCTTAGGCCAACAACTTCTTTAAGTGAGCAATCTCCTCTTCATCATCTCCAGTCACAACCATATCATCAACATAGATAATTTGTAAAGTAATTTTACCATTACAGTAGTGTCTGATGAACAAGGTACGATCGACATTATTTTTAGAATAGCCAAAGGAAATCATAGCCTTACTGAATCTAACAAACCATGCTCTAGGTGACTGCTTTAGCCCATACAACGCTTTCTTCAATCTGCAAATCTTACCTTCGGTTCTCTCATCATCAAAGCCTGGAGGAATGTCCATGTGTACCTCTTCTTCTAGATCACTATGCAAAAAAGCATATTTTACATCAAATTGATGTAGACTCCAATCCAAGTTTGTTGCACAGGACAATAGGACTCGTGTTCATCTTTGCAACTGGAGCAAAAGTCTCTTGATAGTCCACTACATAAGTCCGAGTAAAGCCTTTTGCCACCAATCTGGCTTGACATCTGCCCTGTGTTTTACTGTGACCACCCATTTGCATCCCACCGGTTTCTTCCCTAATGAAGGGGTAAGAAGTTCCCAAGTTCCATTTTTGGCCAAAGCTTTCATCTCCTCCTCCATTGTTGCTTTCCAATTTGGATCTTGATATGCTTCCTACCAATTCTATGGAATAGAAACAGAAGAAACATACAATACAAAGGCTCTATGGGTAGGAGATAAAGAGTCTCAAATTGGGATATAGGATATTTGGTGCAAGCTCTAACCCCTTTTCTGAGGGCAATGGGAAGATCATCATCAACGATAGGTTCAGAGTCAGGAATATTAACAGAAGGAATTGAATCAAAATTAGAATCAGGAGTTATAGAAGACTCACCAGACGGTTTTTCAAGAGCTGATTGCAGAGATGACGGTTGACTAGGTGTATCATGCGTGATAGCATTAACCTTCTCTCTTCGACTTTACCTCCTTAAATTTGGCCTATCAAGTCTTACCATTTTTGTTTCATGCTCATTACTAGTGTTCATGTTCACAAATTGTTCAGGAACAGATACAGACATTAGAGCTAACGGAGCTTCCTCTTCTATCCTAATCCCCCCTGAAGAGGAGCTAGGGAAAAATAAGGGTCAAACTCTCTAAAGGTCACATCCATACTCAAAATATTTTCGGGTTGGAGGATGAAAACACTTATAACCCTTTTGAGTGCCAGAATAACTAATAAATACACATTTCAAAAATCTAGGTTCTAACTTTGGGAGGAACAATATATGATGAACAAAACAACACAACCAAATACTTTTAGAGGAACAATATATGAGGTATTACCCTGTAAAGTTGTTGTAGGGCTTTTAAATTTGAGTGTTTTAAGAGGCATCCTATTAATGAGATAGGTTGCAAAAAGCACTGCATCTCCCCAATAAGTCTTAGGAACATTCATGGTGAATAAAAGAGATCTAGCTTCCTCTAATAAATGTCTATTTTTTCGTTCAGATACCCCATTTTGAGCACTATATTCACACAGCTAGTTTGATGTATAATTCTATTGCCTGAAATATACGATTCATATATTCTGTTCGATGATTGGTTTTGAAAATTTTAACCTTTGCATCAAATTGTGTACTAATCATGTTATGAAAAGATTTAAAGCAAGAAAACACTTCACTTTTTGCTCTCAGCAAGTAAGCCCAAGTTAATCTAGTACAACAATCAATGAACGTAACAAACCCTTTATCCAAGTTAATCTAGTACAACAATCAATGAACGTAACAAACCCTTTATAACCAGATAAGGAAACAATAGAAGTAGGATACCATACATCTGAATGAAGTCATGAAAGGGACTGGACTTTTATTATTATAGGAAATATGAGAACTCCTTGTATGTTTAGCAAGTTCACAAGTATCACAACTTAAAGACTCTAACTGACAATGCTCAAAAAGACCAGGATATAATTTCCTTAGAACTAAAAAAGAAGGATGTCCTAATTGAGGACATGTAATTATTTCTTGACTAGCATTACCATGATTTTCTAACAGGGCTTGAGGAATACCATGAGTCAGAGGATTGTAACCTTTTTCGAGAAGATATAAGCCATCATGCAATCTACCAAAGCCAGTCGTCTTCCTCTTCTCAAATCCTACAAAACACAATGAGTTGGGAAAAATTCAACTTTGCAGTTGAGGGCTTTCGTAATGGCACTAACAGATAAAAGGTTTACAGGAACTAGGAATATGAAGGATAGAAGTTGAATCAATGGTAGATGTGCACTTAATAGAACTTGTGTCAGAAATCGGTGCGAAAGAACCATCAACAATGTGAACAATTTCTTTGCCAGAACAAGATGAATAGGTTAAAAATTTATTAGGAAAGCCTGTCATATGTTTGTTTGCTCCTGAATCTATAACCCATGAATCATCAACAGAATTAGTAAGAAGGGTTATTCCATATTGCACAAAATTGGAAGTAACTGCGGTGGATGAAGAGTCAAGTTTTGACAAAAAACGCCTTAGTAATTTTATCCCTTCAATAGAGAAATTCCTGGTAGAAGATGCTTAAGGTACTGCAACTACATCAGTTTGGTGTGCAATAAGTCTAGTTGCATCAATTCTTTTGCCACCATGACCCATCCTTTTATTCCCACGACCCCTAGTCGGTCATCCATGTAATTTCCAACATGTTTCCGTGGTTTTATTACTATCCCCATGATTAAATAGTAGTAATAGACTAACCAAAATTAGGAGCAAACTCACAATCTAACCAACTAGGATAGTAGTTGGAAAAAAAAATAGTAGCAATACACAGCGGAACATTGAGAAAAAAACCAAACTCAGCAGTAAATAAAGATGGCACCTGAAAAATCAAAGTGCAAAATGGGCGGAAACCAAGCTTGAACAGAGTGCAACTTTCAAGGAAGAATTTTGAAGCTGAGATGGCTGGAACAGGTCGCAAGTCAAGCTGGAACTAAGTCGTCGGACTAGGGCGAGTCTGTCGAAGTAAGTCCAGCAGAGAGAGGCTGTTGAAAAGCTCTCACTCGCCAGCGTGTGGCGGAGGTCTACGCTTTGATCGGCGTGTGTACTCACACGCATTGTTGGACGGTCACCGGATTTCAGCCGTAGAGTCGCTGGCCGCTGGGCTTGCTTCAAGGAGTGGCGGTGTACTTCACCTCCACCCAGAAAGCCTTCAATGGTAGAGAGAGGTCGGCTGCCCTAAGTCCCTGCTAACCTAAAACCGTTTAATAAATTTCCGGATTCCAGCTTTCATACCATGTTGAAATATCAGAGATTTAGATTTTAGGAGAAATTTGATTCTCTATTTCTTGTGTACTTCTAATTGTGATTTACATCAAGGTATTTATACACATGCATCTACAACTGACTAGGAAATATACAAAAAGGAAGAAATCAATAATGCTAAACAATTTTCTAAGTCAACAATTGTGTTAATATATATGAATAGTAGAGTGAAATCTTTACACAAGATCACACTAAAAACTGCTCTTGCTAAGTGAACACCATCAACATTATGCATCTCGAACCTTCATTCTATTAAGTTCATATCACATTGTATGAATTGACGAGTATATTGACATTTGAAAGTGATGAACATTGAACTAAATGATTCAACACCAGTTAGAAGCAATTTTTGTACTAGTTTGCAGTGAATGATGCGAGATGAATAAATTAAGTAAATAGTTTTACTGTTCCAATACAAATCTTATGAATTAACATGCTTTTTATTTTTTGCTATTTTATTATCTTTTGTAATCATTGCAAACATTTGTGAATTAGAAATTGCATTGTTCTATTTATTCTTTTGTTATCTATTTATTTTCTTGCCTTTCACTAGATTACACTCTTCATAGTAGACATTTTTATTTTATTGATCCTTCACTAAGAAATCCTTTCATCATGCAGCCAAAATTATATGTTGGACGTGGGATGCAAGAAACCCAGGTTTCTGTTTTCAAGTATATCATATTTTGTTTTGTGAAGCATTTATTAGCATATTGTTCATTATCATTTCTTTCTTATTATGCAAACTCTCTTCTTACTTACAGATACACATTGTTTTGGATATTGGTACTATCAAGCAAATTTTTGTTTAGTTACAGTTTTGAGGTTAGTGATATTATCGTTGCTTTCTTATTAAGATGTTTTATATGACATCAAATGAGCTTGTGGGATATTTTAGATATTTCATCTACATTTTTCATTGAGACCACACTTCTTAAGGCAAAAGGAAGTTTAAATTGTACACGATGTACTAGGAGTCAGATTGAATGGGTGAGAAAAACAAAAGCAACATAGAAAAATAGAACTAAGCTCAATATTTTATATTGGCATGAGAAGTAAAATAGATTCATATCCTCTTGGACATATTTGAAATCAGAATATATAGTTATACACAGCTATATCTCTCCATAACAAGTCTAAATGCTTGCAAAATTTTGTTTCAAGTGAATTGAAATTTCATGAAATATATTTATCATGCCAAAAAACTTGCTTTTATTATTAAGGAAATATTATATTAATAAACAAATGCTTTGCTACTTGAGCTTCATTGGAATTAAGTTTGGTTACGCTTTCAAAATTGTGCTTTTCTAAATATTTTTGATTCAAATATTTTTATTATTTTTGTTTTGGTGATATAATAGAGGAATTTAGACATTGTCAAAAAGTATTGCTACTTCTCTCATACAAATGCGTAAAACACGGCTAATTTCCCCTTAGAAAAGCATAATACATTTGATCGTCATCTACCTTAAAACCATTTTATCTTCATTATTAATGTAATCTATGCATTGATGTGGAATTATGTAAAACACCCTGTCATTTGTTGGTTTGCAATTTTACCCTAGCCTTTTAATTTCATTTTACCATAACCTTTCATGTTCAATTGCAATTCTACTATAGGACTCAATTGAAAGAAAAATAGTGCTCAATTTGTTATTAATTATAAGAACTAAAGGCCAAATTAACCCTTAAAAAATTAGATTGTCAATTTAGTCTTTAGGTTTTGATCTGACTCTATTGTCTAAATTAGAATTAAAGAGTCCAGTTGATTCCAATCAAAATTTGAAGATTAAATTTATGACATGGCATAAATTCAATCGCCAATTTGATATTTCCCCTTTCAATTAATAGAAAAATAATTTTATCTTTATTATAATTTGTCTTAGGATAGCATTTTAACCAATCTTGAAGGGTTAGGGCAAAGAAAAATTTAGAGGGTCGGGTAAAATTGCAATTGCGCAACAAAAGTTATTAGTAAGAGCCCAGAAGAATTTAATGTGTTTGTGTAGGTATCAAACTGTTAAACACGTGTTCAATTTTTCTTTTCTTTTTTCTTCTTTCAATTTTTTGGTGGACACAGTTTAATGTGTTTTACATGTGTCTAATCGAGAATGGCTTATCTATACTTGGTGTATGGGCCCACCCATATATCAAGCCTGTCCAATAAAGTTTTTGGTGCATGTACAAGTATTGTTTTATCAATGAGAAAAAAAGGAAAAACTAGTTAAAAATATTGACAAATTTTCCAAATAGCTAATCACTATTGTTTGGTATACGAGTGGTCTTATAATCCAAGTGTAGGCAAGCATCTTCTGTGTCAAATGTGTCTTTCAACTGTATGCAAAGGGCATGTGTTTGATACCACACTACTAATTGGAGGTTTGTCTACCCTTCATAGAGTGTGACAATGTAAGCGGCCTATCAATTGTTTCTATATATTAAAATGCAGATCAAACCACTTATTGAGCCAACAAGACTAATGTTGAGAATTGGTTTGCAAAATTATGATTGGCATGAGCTTTTCCCCAAAGGTACTTCATTTCTTTCTGAACCGAGCTTTTGAATATCATGTCACGACCTTTTTTCTTTAAATTTTTTGTTCTTTTGCATTAAATTATCTCATAATTTGTTCTCTTGTATCAGTCAAGAGTAATGCTGGGGCTATTGTGGCTATTTGGGCTCCAATTATTGTTGTGAGTTTTTATTTGGATTTCTTAAATGAACTAGATATCTGATTGTTCTGCATTTGAAATTTGAGATATATTGAAGCTGTCATAGTTTTATATTGTTTTTAATAAGGAATTGTTTGGTTTGCATGCCAAGTGGTGCTTTGATTTCATTTTTTTTTACTTTTCTAACATTCCAATGTACTTAATAGATAGGAAAATTCAATGTTTGTGTTACGAGAAATTCTTAGGTGAACTATGTCTAACACATCTTCCATGCATGAACCTTATAAAACAGTGCCATGTAAGAAAATATCAAACACGAAAAATGGTAAAAATATTAATGAGCTATAACTATTAATAGGTTCCAATAATCAAACAATGAAATTTTAAAAATTATCTTATGTGACACTACTTTATTATGTTAGTCCATGGATGACGTTGTAAACATAGTCAACCTGAAAATGTCTTGTTTTATATTGCATGATAAAATTTTGGACAAATGCTCAACTGGACCACCTAAACTTTAATCAATGTTTAACTAAACTCAAAAGTAAGTTTAGGGCCAAATTAGGATGCTAATTTTTTTATTTTGGTCTCAAGTTAGTCCAATTTAACAAAAATGGGACACAAGCTCAAATTAACCCTTAAACTTTTAACCAAAGTCCAATTAGTTCCACAATCAAGGTAGGTTATTTTTTTCTAAGAGAAAAATAAGTAATTTTTAATTTTAAATTTTGCCAACAAAATTTTCACTTTCATTTTACAAATAATGTTTTCTTTTGATGCATTAAAATTTAAATTTAAAATAATTTGAACTAGAAGAAACATTTATTTTAAAGAAAAACCAAAGGTTTTTATTACAAAATGATACTTAAGATATGAAAATTAACTTTTATAGATAAAATAAAAACTTTCAAAAAAAAAATAATTTGTCTACCCCCCTCCTCCCCTTCCCCTCCTTCCCTCCCCCTTTTGGAGAAATGATAAGTGCGTGTCTAAACAGCAAAAGTTAGAGCCAAATGGTAATTATTATTTAGGAAAGCAGCATTTACTTTTTGTTAACATGCTATATGAAGTCTGACATTTATTGTTCTATTCTGCATCTATCTCAGGTGTATTTCATGGATACACAAATCTGGTATTCTGTTTTCTGTACAATCTATGGTGGAGTTTATGGGATTATAAATCATCTTGGAGAGGTAAGCTGTAACTTTTGTAGCATAACAAATTTGGAAAATACTTATTCGTATTATTTGTAGATTCGGACATTGGGAATGCTTAGAAGTAGATTTCATACCTTGCCGTCTGCATTCAACATCTGTCTTGTCCCGCCCTCAGCAAAAAATGATCAGAGAATAAGAAGAAATTTCTTTCACAAGAGATTTCATAAGGTGCGAGCCTATAAGGTTTCTAATGTTGCACTTTCATTCTCCATTAAGGATCTTCTGTTATCTCCATATGATGACTGACTTGATTCTGTTTCCAGATGTCTGAAACTACAACACATGATGTGGCTAAGTTTGTTCTTGTATGGAACCAAATAATCAATTCTTTCCGGTTAGAAGACTTGATAAGCAACAGGTACGATATATCCTTTCTCTGTCTGTTGTTCCAAGGCTATCTATTAGAAATTTGTTTCACTAACTTTCCTCCACAGGGAGTTGGACTTGATGACAATGCCTATATCTTCAGAGTTATTTTCTGGCATGGTTCGCTGGCCAATTTTTCTCCTGGCAAATAAGGTTTGGCACTTGGATTCAAACTGCCCTTGTTCTTTCTTATTATCAATGTTCTTCTGTGTATAAATCTCTAGTTTTCCAGTTTTCAACAGCAATAAGCATTGCACGAGATTTCACTGGAAAGGATGAGATTCTTCTCAGGAAAATAAAAAAGGACAAGTACATGTACAGTGCTGTGAAGGAGTGCTATGAGTCACTCAAGTATGTCCTCGAAATTCTCATTGTGGGCAATCTTGAGAAACGGTACAGAAAACAATCTTTTCTTCAAATCTAATTTAATTTGAAAAGACATATGTGAGTTTAGTTCTTCATAGCAAAAGTTCTTAATCTTTAATACCATTTGTATCCTGGCCTTTTAGGGTCGTATCCATCTTAATAAATGAAGTTGAAGAAAGCATTGGAAGATCAAGCCTTCTTGAGGACTTCAAAATGAGTGAGCTTCCAGCTCTACAAGTGAAATGCACTGAATTAGTTGAACTTCTGGTAACTTTAACCCTGAAAAGCCAAAGCTGTCATATTGACTGCATTTTCCAGTGCCAGTTGATCATTATTTGTCTTATTTATTTTTATTGTTCTTGTTGAGGTTGAGGGAGATGAAAACCATCATAGTAATGTGGTGAGAGTTCTCCAAGATATGTTTGAGCTTGTGACGAATGAGATGATGACAAATGGTTCTAGGTCTGTCATTCTTAGGTTTATTCTCATTCTGAAATTGATCTAATTTTAATATCAATCTAAATGTTTATATTTGTTGCTTTCTTTAAATTGTGCACAGAACATTGGATTTGCTCCATTCTCCCCATCAAGTGGAAGAGACTTTTCCTTACTTTTCCAGAGCAATTGAACCACAGTTATTCGAATCAACTGGTGATAGCGCTATTCATTTTCCTTTGCCAAATACTGAACCTCTCAATGAGCAGGTAATTTTCTTTCCCCAGTATTACTTTTACTTTTTTCTTCCTTTGTCAATGGAGCATGTTCATAGTACCTTAATGGGAAATTCTATCTATTTTTGTATCCTTAGCTTATATGGTTTCTCTTAGTTATGTTCATGAATAAGCTTGTTTACAGCTGATTCATATTCATCTAGAGTGTTATTGAAGATTATAAATCGCCTATGAAATCCTATCTTTAATAATTGATTTGGTTTGAAATCTATTTCAAGTTATGGACATTGTAGGTTAAAACATACAGTATGGTTCACTAGGCTGGCTGATAATAGTCATGGATTGGAGAGAAAAAATTTTATGTAGAAAAAGTAATAAAGCTGAAGATGTGAGATGAAAATCCCACATCATATGCTTCAGATTTTAGATGTGGTGTACTGATTTTTCAAATAGTAAGAGACTTTTTATTCGAATGAATCTTGAAACCATTTTACCACCATTTCTTCAACAATAATATTCATTTTCCCCTGCTAACTGAAGGAAAGAAGAACGCAAATTGAGAACTTTCGAAAAACTTTTCTTTCTATAATATACGCTTTAGCTACTTTAGCTTCTATGCTCGATATGAAAGAGGGTATGTACTACTGTAAGGCCCCTGATAGTTGAAACCCTTGTTCTACCTGCTGTTTTGCTGTTGATATTTCAGACGAATATGATGATGGGTTCCCAAGAACATGAAATTCTGGAGATTTGCATCATAGTTTTGTTCACAAGATTCCCTTGTCCAAGAAAAGTAATTCAGCATCAACCATGCCAAAACACCTAACCAAACAAAGCTCAAACTTATCTGTTTGATTTCTTCACAAATTGGATTTTAATAATGCCTCTCCAGTTATATTTTTCCACTCTTATGACTAGAGAAATGTAAAACCTTTGACCTAAATGCTTCTGTATATGATTGATTGGAATCATTGAATTGATCAAAAAGTAAGGTGATTGCCTACAAGCTTGTTTGGAATGGGACTGGAAATGGAAATGCATGTCTAAATCCGAAGGGTCTTATTCCAAATATATTTTTATATAAACAAATCGAATCATTCTTAAAGGCAGATATCATTTCAAGATAAATTCAAGTTATTCAAATACAAAAATACAGAAGGAATTTTGGATTCTTTGTGAACTGAAGAAATAATGCATCTGCATTCCTTTCCCAATTCCAAGACAAGCAAAATATGGCACAAACAGATCTGAGTTTATTGTCATCAACAAATGCTCAAGAGGAGGGTACCATAAATAAATACAAAGTTACATTAAATTTTAAGGAGTTCGTATGTGCATGTTTGGTGTAGTTGAATGCAACCAAACTTGTAAGCCTGAAACATATAATAACTGTACTACTTTAATTTAAACTTTGGATGGCAGATTCAGCGTCTCCATTTGTTACTTACTGTGAAAGATAAAGCCCTGGATGTACCTGCAAACTTAGAAGCTCGGAGACGTATTTCATTCTTTGCGACTTCACTTTTTACTGATATGCCCATTGCTCCCAAAGTCCGCAACATGCTGTCTTTCAGGTTCATCTCTCTAGTCATGATGATTGCTTAGTTACATGATTTAATTATTATACAGTTTGCAATATGCTGATTATAGAATCAGCATAAGGTGTTCATAGTTTATTTACACAGACACTGGGATGATCCTGTAAATACTTGAGGCCTACTCTAACTATTGTGTCTCTAAAAAGCATGTTGTGCAACAAGAACTACTATAAAGAGAGATAGTTGCAAGGGACTAGATCTTAGTTGATGTCATATATTTTCTATTTCAGTGTAATGACTCCTCACTTCATGGAAGATATAAATTTTTCTATGAAAGAACTTGATTCAAGCAAAGAAGAGGTTTCCATCTTATTTTATATGCAGAAAATATATCCAGGTTAGAAGACCTGTTAACTTTATTGGCAATTGTCTTCTATCTGTTTGAATGCAATTTTGTTTGGTGTAACTATTTCTTTGTTTATCTTAGATGAGTGGAAAAATTTTTTGGAGCGCTTGGATTATGATAGTTCAGAGCTATTTAAAGATGAGAGCAAGAAGGAAGAGCTGAGAAATTGGGCTTCTTTCCGGGGTCAGACATTAAGCAGAACAGGTGAAAGAAAATATAAATAATGTTCATACCATTTGGCATTTGATCTAGATCAGGCCCAATATGGTGATCATCCTGAATGTGGTCTCCAAGCTTGTTTTCCTTGGTTGTGACAGTTAGAGGAATGATGTACTATAGGGAAGCCTTAAGAGTTCAAGCATTTCTTGACATGGCTGATGATGAAGGTTTGTTATCCCGACTTTAGTCCATTCCAGTCCACTTCATAACTACATGACATAATTTGATTTAAGGAGAACACTTTCATTTTTTTTTTTTTTTGATTTTTTTTTTTATTTCTGTCCATCCAGATATTCTTGAAGGTTATGCTGCAGCTGAAAGAAATAACCGTACATTATTTGCTCAATTAGATGCGCTAGCAGACTTGAAATTCACTTATGTCATTTCTTGTCAAATATATGGATCACAGAAGTCATCTGGAGATCCCCATGCTAATGACATTCTTGAAGTAATGAAAAGGTAACCATTTAAAAAGAAAGGAAAAAAAATGTGCTGATAATCAAGTTATCAGTTCATCTCAATATGACTATACAATTATATCTTGAAGATACCCATCTGTCCGTGTTGCTTATGTCGAGGAGAAAGAAGAGATTGTAAATGACAAACCTCGAAAGGCTTATTCTTCTATACTGGTTAAAGCTGTCAATGGTCTTGACCAGGTATTCTATTATTTAAGCTGTATTGTAGCATTTTAAGGGGATTGAATTTTTCATTAGCGATATGTGCTTCGAACAATATGGGCTAAATGGAGGACTATGAATCTTTCAATAAGCAATCTATCATTCTCTTCCAGAAATAAATAAATATGGCAATTGCATGTGTTGAAAATGGAATAGATCAATTATTACACTACCTCAAGTCTTAGCAGAAAATAATAAGGGTTTTGTTATCTAAAAAGCTCACCTTTCAACATTCTTTGCTTGATATTAGAGAATAGATTTAGACAATTTTCAGGAAGAATAAAATTTGGAAAGAGGGAATGTAGAGAATATAAATGTAATTCTAGTTCCATTTCTGGCTGAAATTTTAGGGTTGTTCCTGGACCTTGAAGCCCTAAACCTCCTCTTAATTGGCCATGCTTGCATGTTAACATAACCATATCAGTTTCGTGTACACTGTGCTTGGTTGAATATTTGGTTGGCTTTACAGGAAATTTATAGGATAAAGCTACCTGGCCCACCAAATATTGGAGAGGGGAAACCTGAAAATCAAAATCATGCCATCATTTTCACACGCGGTGAAGCTCTTCAGACTATTGATATGAACCAAGTAAGCTCTTCCCCTGACACTTCAAATTTATATATTTGAAACCTTTTATCCTTATGTTGTCTGAAATTGCAGGACAATTATTTGGAAGAAGCTTTCAAAATGAGAAATCTTTTACAAGAATTTTTCTTGCAACGAGGACGACGGCCTCCTACAATACTTGGCTTGAGGGAACATATATTCACTGGAAGGTTAGATCCTCTTATATTCACAAGCTATATAGCAAAGTGCATCATTGTATGCTGGACTAACTTAACACTAATAGAGTCATACAATTGATTCCAACACAGAACTAAAACCATTATATAAGAGAATAAGAACATGGAACTGTAATTGTAGTTCATCCAGTTTGTTATCTTTCATAGTTTCTTGGTGCCAGGATCTTAGAACAATGTTGTCTTTACCATTGTTGAGGTTTGAGGAACAGGAAACCTTCTGCCATTTTGTGGTTCAGTCACTTGAGTGGAAAACATGGCCAAACATACTTTAATTTCAGAAATGTTTCACTAGATAAATCCTTTAGTGGAAATTGGCATCATATTAAAGGGTTCTTTCCTAGTAGGCAACATAGGTTTCAATTTGAAAAATGAGAATTTAAATTGTGCCCATTATTAATGTTTAGGCGTATGCCAATGAACCATTGAAGATACATTTCATCATTGGTTTCCAAAAAGTGGGAGCCTGTATTCATAGGTCAGCGCACATGCATATTCTGTTCCAATTTATTACAATTGAATATGATAATCATTCTGTATAAAATGACAATTCCCAAATTTTCTGCTTTCATGAGAAATTTGCTAAGGGAAATCAATATAGAACAAGTATTCCTAATTAGTTCATGATTTGTATTCCTAAATAGCCTAGGTAGCCTAGGAATTCCTTGCATATAAACCTATTTAATTCATTGATGAAAACATGAAATACAAACATAATTTTTTCTCATAGCAAAATTAACTGCATGCCCCTTTAAAATTGAAGGAAAAAATTGGAGGACATGTCTCCATCTCCATTTTTCTTATTATCTGTACTTTTGAATTCAAATACCGGACTCAGGACTCCTTCATACATCAAACTTCCATTATGTAAATCATAACCCAATTCTGTTACTGCCTTTGAAATGCAGCCTTAGTGTCGTTAAAGATGGAAAGCATTTCAGAAAGATGTGTATAAGCAAATGTTAATTTAGGCATAAATTGATTTAAAATGCTTATATATTTCTGGGACCTGGGGGAGACTTTTAATGCTTCCCTGCTATAGTCTTAGTTTTGCTTTTCAGTAAATGCCAACTGTGGATAGATGTCCAACTTCTGAAAATACAATTGCACTGTTTATTGAGATTTCATCTCAAAGTGAAAGAGGATTCTACATTCTTAAAGCTCTTGGAAGAGTAGAAGGCTTTTCATGCCTCTCAAAAGGCTTTGAATTGCATGGTTTTGAAGATATATTTTTATCAAAAACTTTGATCTGCAGTAACTTTTATTTGACTAAATTATGACCTGTACCCATTGGCTTACCATCCTTCACAACAGTCTTGCTTATTGTTATCCAAATTCTGAATTCTTTATGGCCTTTGTTTTTCTTTTCCCTAGGGTTATGCACATGTAGTTTTTTAATATAGCTAAGCCCTTATGAAAAATATGTTCTTTCTCAAGTTTGATCCAAGAAATTGGTGTAGTGGAAGTATGAAGGAAATAAACCTATTTATCAAATTATGATGAGTGTGTCGTTATCACTGTTTACTATATTTTGTGATCATATCAATGATTATTATTCATCATGAGAAAATGTAATCGTAGATCTAGATATTTTTGTAAATTTTAGTTCAAGTTAAAATCTTACTTCATCTCTTGTATTGAAGAAAATAAACCTATTTATCAAATTATGATGAGTGTGTCGTTATCATTGTTTATTATATTTTGTCGTCATATCAATGATTATTATAAATCATGAGAAAATGTAATTGTAGATCTAGATATTTTTGTAAATATAAGTTCCAAGTTAAAATCTTACTTCATCTCTTGTATTGTAGTGTTTCTTCTCTAGCATGGTTCATGTCATATCAAGAAACAAGCTTTGTCACCATCGGTCAAAGGCTTCTTGCCAACCCCCTCAGGTCAGATTCAAATGTTAGCAAACTCATTCTTAATATTTAAGGAAAGTAGAATCCAATTTTTTCCCATTATTTTCGTACCTGTGTTGTTTATGTTTGTTAAGAAAGAATTTTATTTCTTCTATATTTTTGTAAAATGTGAGATACATTCCTATATATACATAGAGACTATATGGATATGCCTAAGCTACCCTTTACACTTAAGACTATGTTATACATACAAACAGCCATACATCACAACACTCCCCCTCAAGTTGGTGCATAGATATTGAGCATGCCCAACTTGGATACTAAGCTGTGCAAGATTTTGCTACTTAGCCCCTTAGTGAAGATATCTGCCAGTTGATTATTTGAAGTTACATGAGTGAGTTTCAAGACACTCTGGTTGATTTTCTCCTTTATGAAGTGTCTGTCAATCTCTATGTGTTTTGTTCTATCATGCTAAACTGGATTCTGAGCAATACTAATAGTGGCCTTGTTATCACAGAACAAGGTTGAGGCTCTGGACTCTGAAAATTTCAATTCTTCCGATAACTCTCACCTATAACATTTCACAAACTCCTAGGGCCATGACTCTATACTCAGCTTCTGCACTTGAATGAGCTCTACACTCTGCTTTTTACTCCTCCAAGTAACCAAATTTCCTCCAACAAAGATACAATGGTCTGAAGTCGATCTTCAGTCATCTGGAGATCCAGCCTAATCTGCATTAGTATAGACCTCAGTTTTGAGGTGGCCATGCTTAGAAAAAAGTATGCCCCTTCTAGGAGCAAACTTCAGATACATTAGAATACGGAAAATAGCTTCAAGATGAGAGTCACGAGGGTTATTCATATATTGGCTCACAAGGCTAACAGCTTAAGCAATATCAGGTCTTGTGTGTGAGAAATAAATTAACCTACAAACCAACCTTTGATATTGGCCTAGATCAACTCTCTTCCCAACTCTTGCCTGCAATTTCTGATTGACCTCAATTGGAGAATCAGATGGCTTACATCCCAGCATACTTGTTTCTTCCAAAAGATCTAGGACATATTTCCTTTGAGAAATGAGGATCCCATTATCAGATCTAGCAACCTCAATACCAAGAAAGTATCTCAGACTCCCCACATCCTTAATCTCAAACTCTTGAGCCAGTAGTTTCTTCAGGTGAGCAATTTCTACTTCATCATCTCCAGTTAGAACTATATCATCCGCATAGACAACTAAATAACGTGATCTTACCCTTGCAGTGTTTGATAAATAAGGTATGATCAACATTACTTTGAGTGTAACCAAAGGAAACCATGGCCTTACTGAGCCTATCAAACCATGCCATAGGTGACTGTTTGAGACCATATAAGGCCTTCTTCAACTTGCATACCTTTCCTTTGGTTTTCTGACAATCAAACCCGGGAGGGACCTCCATGTAGACTTCCTCTTCTAAATCTCCATGCAGAAAAGCATTCTTTACATCAAACTGATGCAACTCCCAATTTAGGTTGGTTGCACATGATAGTATGATTCTGATGGTGTTCATCTTTGCAATTGGAGAAAAGATCTCTTGATAATCAACACCATAAGTCTGAGTATAGCCTTTTGCTACCAACCTAGCGTTGTACCTTTCGACTGTGCCATTTGCCCCGTGCTTTATTGTGAACACCCACTTACATCCCACTGATTTCTTTTCTACTGAAGAGGTAACAAGATTCCAAGTTCCATTCTTTGCCAAAGCATTCATCTCCACCATTGCTCCCTTCATTTTGGATCCTGATACGCCTCTTGCCAATTTTGTGGAATAGAAACAGAAGAAACAGACAAGACAAAGGCTCTATAGGAAGAAGATAAAGAATCATAGGAAACAAATTGAGAGATTGGATGTTTAGTACAAGATTTCACACCTTTCCTGAGAGCAATGGGAATATTAGTATCATCAATAATAGGATTAGCAACAGAATCAGAATTAGAATCAACATTATGTACTATAGGAGTTATAGGAAGCTCACCGCATTGGTTTTCTGGACCTGAATGCAATGAAGACGGTTGGGTAATGGGATCATGCACAATGACACTATTTTTCTCCCTTCTGTTGTATCTCTTCAAATTCAGCCTATCTAGTCTTTCTCTTCTTTGAGCATTAGTGTCATCCTTTCTTGGTTGAGATTCATCTGTATTTTGTATCTCTTCATCAATATTAACTAGGTTCATAAACTGTTTCGGAACAGACACAGACATAGGGCAAAAAAGATGGATGTCCCCCAGTTTGGCAAAAGAGGGATGTCCTAATCTCCTATGCCAATGAATAACTTCATGGAAAGGATTTTTAGAAGTTCCTAACAAAGTTTGACTGGTACCCGTATTTAAAAAACGACAAACGTCATCCAACAGATACAATCCATCGCGCAAGCTACCACTGCCAATTGTTCTCCCCGTGTTCAGTTCTTGAAATATACAATGAGTAGGGTAAAAAGTTACTTTGTAATTAAGCGCTTTTTGAGTGCGCAGATCGTTGATGTGGTACGGGGTGGTGCGGTACTCTTTATGACCTGGTGATGTTCCGTGGAGAGTCTGGTGGGTGTATACGATAGCGGGTTGCTGTCCTCAATACGTCTGCGATGGTTAAACGTATTGCGGTAACTCTGCTCTGAGCAAAAAATAATGCTCTATGGATATCTCAACAAATAGAAACAATAAAACACATTTACTATTATAAAGACCATGGATAACGATATTTATGGCACATATAAGCTCACACATTATGATACTTTCACTTGATATCATACCTTTCTGTACTGTTTATAATCTGCTTCATAATTCATGGATATATGTTATGTCAAGATATCTGAATGGCTCCAGTAAGGTTAGTTGAAACCGAAAGTGATAAGATAAACTGTATTTGAAACTGTGGTAAAACTGTATCGCAAGGCCCCGAATCCGGATGTCGCCTGTTTATCGCCAATATTGGTCCTTGTGCCTAACCGGATTCGCACCGGCACGGGGGTTTTAATCATATCCACTCAAACCGGCCTCTATTTGGTACCGGAGTTCCAAAACTGTGGGCGCAGATCTGCTCCTATGTCGCGACATAGGCCTATCTGCCTGGTTTCTACCCTAACCTCAATCGAGAGCTTCTATGTACATGCTCAATTATTAACAACCATAAACACATAAATGGTGCATAACTTCTAGTCTCATGGATTTGATTTCAATCATATGAATGCTTGTATGTTGTTTTATCCATGTCTTATGTTGTATTTTTGTTGTAAAATGATTGGATGCATGCATGTTGAGGCAAAGGAATGTAATTACATGCAATGAAAGGCAAAAGTGTGTCAGCATCAGTTCGCGAGCGCGACATTCCAAGTCGCGAAGCGCGAGATGTTCCCAGAGAGAAGTCGCGGCGCCGGTCTTCAAACCTCTCTTACTGCGATGCGTGAGGAAAATGCATTTGAGAGTCAGAGGGTGTTTTTCTTGGCTGCGAAGTCCGCGGACGCGCAGCACAAGTCGCGAGCGCGAAGACTGAAAGTCGCGATGCGCGCCTTGGTGTTGTTCCTGTGATCGGTTGTGGCGAGCTGATGGTGTTTGTAGCGCGAGTAGTGCGCACCACCACGCTTTAGAGGTCAGAGAGCTTCTGGTCTCCAAAGGTCCTGGCGACCGCGCACTGTGGATATGGTGGCCGGATGCTGCGAGTTGTTTTGCCATCTGACTGAGAATCATGATGAGTGTGTACCTGACTCCAAGTCGCGAGCGCGCAATAGTGAAATCGTGCGCGATGGCTGGTTATGCATGTGCGACTTGCTTTTTCCAGTATGCGTGCGGGAGGCGCGCGACGTGATTCTGTATGCTGGTGAGCTCTGTGTTCTTTGGCCATAACTTCTTCAATAGTTAACTCCAAGTTGAAGATTCAAAAGCCTATGTAAAGCTAACATAAGGAAAGGAACAAATAACTCTTCGGTATGACAATTCCTAAATTCATCATTATATGGGTTCAAAAATCAAGATGAAGTTGCTTGGGTTATACATTTCCAGCAAACTCTGTTTCCGGCTTTTCACTATATTGCTGTCCCCTGTTTTCAATCATTTCCGTACTTCCATATCCCAACAACAAGGCATACATATCATCTTCATTTGGCACAACCACCACACAATTTACATGCAAAGAAAAATAGTAGAGTCAACATGAATATTCAAACCTTACGTCAAAAGGTTGACCTCTGTTTTAGCTTCTCTTCTTCTTGCAACTTTTGAAGCGGTTTTCTTCGTCATCACTATACCACAAGAATTCTCATAACTCTATTCTCCATACAACCTTAAATTAAATAGATAGAACATAACATTCACACGCGTTCAAGGATTTCTACCCGTTACCTTGGAGTGGAGATCGGGCCTTACTGCGTTAACTGCATGAAAAGTGCAAGGAAATGGAAGTTGGGCAAACGTAAGAAAGAACAGATGAAAAAAAGATGAAAATACGGAAATTGTTGAAACATGATAGGAACGGGTTAGACTCTAGAGTAAGTGATTGGGCTTTGTGTAAACGTTCTTCTAATTTGCTACCTCAAGTATCAGCTTAATAGGCGATATAGCTTTACCTCAAGCTCAATGTTGGAGCAATGGCTACAATGTCCTAAACTTTCCATGCAAATAAGTCCACTTATATCATTTCATGCTACCCGAACCGGGGTTGGTTCAACCCGATACCCAACTCAAGGGAGGATGCGGGTTACGATGTGGTTTATCAGCAGGAGAGAAGATTGAGAGATATGCGAGTTCCCGGATCTCACTTATTGAGAGAAACAGTTCAGATCTTAGACAGAGAACTAAGGAATTGGCGGGGAATACAAGATAAATAGCACTGGGGTAAAAGTTCTTTGGAGGAATCGATAAGTACAGCAAGACTAGCAACTTGGGAATCTGAAGACACATGCGGGACGACAGTTTATCCGCGACAGCCCTTGTTCACAACAGGTAAACTTCGGGGACGAAGTTTTATTCTAGCGATGCGTGAGAGGGTGAGAATTGTG